CTCACTTCTTCAGATGCAAGAAGTGCATCTTCTTGCATCTGAAGAAGTGAGGTTCTTACCCACGAAAGCTTATGCTCCCAGTACTTCTGTTAGTCTCAAAGGTGCCACAGGACCCTCTGTTGCTTATTATGGAAGTTGTCTACCCTGTAATATTCATGTGTCTAAAGTTTGTCATTATCCAGCATCTGCTTCTGAAACAAGGATTTATTCCTTGTTTCTCTTTTCTTTTTAAATATGATTAACTTTAATATTAAATTTGAGGATCAAAGGCTGATCTTAATACGGAAATCCATGGAGATATAGGCTATCAGATAAAATTATAGAGACCTCCAGTGTTAATCCATTGACTGTGATATTGCATGATCAATCTAAATCCCTACTGACTAGTGCTGATGTAACATGAGAGATTTTAATTCTAGACTAACTACCTCTTTTTTTTAAAAAAAGTGAGGCACAGCTGGTAACCTTCCAGCAGCTTAGTCTTAGTGCTGTACCATTTTTTCTCAACTGTTATCTCACAAACATAATGTGATCCAAACTGTGAGTAAGAGCAGCTTTCAGCAATGTACATTAACTGTAAGTGTGTAGTGTGAAAAGCCTCAATCCCAGAAATGGAGTTCGATAAAGTATATGGTTGGAAAATAATTGCACAGAGAGAAAAACAGGTACACTTTCTTGATAACAGCTTAGAATTTCCTTCAGGTACTGCACTCCCTAGTATGTTGTTATTGACAATCATGGGGTGGGGGGTCAGATAATGAATTTACACCTAGAGATCATTCATTCTATTGAGCAGCTGGCTGAGGTCAGAAAAACAGTGTTTTCTAGACAGGACTAAACTGTGAAAAAGGCTTTTCTCCTAACAGATTGGATACAGCACTGTAGTAATTGGTATTTTTTGATAGACAGATAGACATTCAGACACAAGTTGTTATGGATAGTCCACCACAGGGGTTCAGCAATCACATCTTTCACTTCATTTTGCCCCTTTTCCCACTCCCAAAAAAGAGGGAAGTTGGAAGTACACTACAAATGGCATTATTCCATGTAAAAGAAATCAACACAGCAGGGTTATATGGTTGAACTTTCACAAACTGCTTAACTTTTATTTTCTGTTGGCTGAAACATTAAACAATGGAGACACTTACAGTTTCTTGCGTCAAAATGATCTTCTGGTACAAATCTTCAGTAATCTTCTTTTTATGGTAAAAATCAAAGAGGTATGTTCTGAGAACCTGAATAAATACCTAGGTGAAAAAAGAGAAATAAATATAAAACATAATCACTTTGATAATCATTATTGGTGATTACATGTATGAATGAGGATGAGTTGTAAGTGAAAATATATTAATAGCAGAAAAGATAATTTACACTTAAAATAGTCATGCTGAAACTCTTCCAATTTGCCTGGGATAACATTATCTTCCAGTATTTCTTACACTTCCTACACTCCTATAAAGACAGACGTAATTTTACATACTTAAGGCAACTGACAAATTTTAAAGCATATGCAAGGCCTTTCATTGAAGGATAAGAAAGTGACTGACAAACATCAGACTTCATGTCTCTGCTTTGGGTAGCTATCGCACAATGGCATGTTCAAAGTAGGGTGGATCTTTTCTAAAACTTTATATGTGCCCAAGGTGTAGTGTCCTCACGAATGCCTGTAGTGTAATGCTTTCACCTTTAAGCTGCACCTTTAAGCTGTTCACCTGTATTTGTTTACCATTTGTAACCAAGCCGCTCATTTGTATACCATCTGTAACCAAAGAGTTACAGGCTCTGGGAAGATCCCAGGCTCTGGGAAAATCTCTTAAAAATAGACCTTCAATTAAATAGACTCTAATCAACTTCCCTGATCACAATATCGACAACAGCAAAAATATAACAAATTATATTTTAAATCCTTGGCAGAATCTTCACCCAAGTCTTTCCCACGTATCTCCTTGAAAGCCAGAGAGAAAAGATAGTAAATGGATTATTGTGGGGTTTTTAAATGTTAATCTTGAAAGTGAACAAATAAAGTTGTTGTTCGAATGTGTTCAGCTTAGTGCCAGGATATATGACTCTCTCTTTTTGTCTCTCATATTTACACCAAGCAGATGCCATACAAACCTCCACAATATATATTCAAGAAGTGGAATAGCTTTAAGTTAACAGTTAATGGCTGAATTCCAAACTCTTCGCCATTAGTGCGGCTTCAAAGGACAAGAGGAAAGGGAAACCTTAGCATACTGGATCCAAAATGGGGGAAGCTATTAAAATCCTTAGGGATGGATTCCTTGCTAACAAAAAATAATTCAAGGAGTCGCTCGACAAGTCAACGTTGCAGTTGAATAGAATTTGGAAAACTTATTATCAACAGACTCGCTGGTAAAACAAGTCTCAGTAGGATGGAAAAAGATACAAGAGATGATGACGTGTACCTCACCTGCTGACACTGTGGGTATGAAAGGCGGAACGTGCCCTCCGAAAATAAAACTGGAAGCCAAAATGCTAAGATTTCAAATACTGTCAAAAAATAAAAGAATTAAAGCAAACTATGAAGATAATGAAGCCAAAACTGAAGTTTCCTTCTTTGAGACCAGACTCTCAGAAGCACTAACCTGGAGGGCAAAAAATGGAACCTTCAAGACTAAAACGTTCACCGTGCCTTGGACCAAAAGCCTACTAATGAAAACCAGCTCCTGCTACTCAGAGTGCAATTTTATGATGCAATTTTTTTCTCTCCTTTTGTGGAGCTTCTTGTCAGCAATCAAATGATCTAATCATCTGTCTTTCAAGGTTTCTGTTATGTTATGGCACAATGTTGTAACTTTTAGACCTGTCAACAAGTTAGTTATTGATCTTGAGATCAAATTCATTGTTCTTAATTCACACAAACTGAAGATCATCTTCGACACTGATCCCAGAATTCTTTTAGTCTCCCTTAGAAACCTTTTTAAGAGATGGGGAGGAGCCCACCAAGAGAGGACACCTGAATGGGTCAAATCTACTCCCCAGGCTTACACTCTGGTTCCTCTCCTTCCCAAGAGTGTTTAAAAGTCTGTCTAGAAAATGCTGCCTCTTGAAACATGCTAATTGTATTAATCACATTTACTTGTTTCTGATATAATGTGATCATATGGAGGTTTGGGGTGTGTGTGAGAGGATTATACCCAGTGTTTAGATTACTTTAGTTAGGCTATAATTGTAATGTTACCCCCTTTTGACCTGAGCAGTTAGCTAAAAATTCGGGGTCTTGTGGATTGTTTTAGTTAATGATATAAATTGGTGATGGAGTCAAGTGTTTCTTCAATGTAATCTTGTTTATTTACAAAGAATGTACGATGTCTCATTTCCCTAAACAAAGCAGGGCTTAAACAAGAAATAGGATCCTTTCTCGCAGTTTCAAACCCCTTTCTTCCATTTAGCCCAAAAGCTCTATCACAGCTTTTTTTTCAGGACCACATTCCCAGTGCTTGTCCTTGGCTTTTCTGCTGATGCTTCTCTCAACATACACACCACTCCATCAAGCATAAGCTCTCTGCCCACATGTATCAAATTCGTAAGCAGACTTCCATGTGCCTTTGTGTTGTAACATAAGGCCCTCGGGGACTAGAACCCAGGCCTACAAAGTTCCCAGGTAGCTAGCAGCTCCAGGCTGCCAACCAGCAGCAGTTGTAACCATGGTGCGCTCCACTTCCCATAACCTGCTGCGGACACAGACTGTGGGGCATTCCACCACAAGGGTTTGACAGACAGCAACCCCCTGGCTCTTGATTGGCTCCCTATCCTATATAAATCCAAGGGGTGGTTCAGGAAGTGTTCAGGCAACAAGTGGGGATCTTCTATAGTTGCCATGATTGTGCCTGCTCTTGAATTCCTGGCCTGACCTTGGATTGATTTGGACTTTGCCTCCTGACTTGGACCCTGAAAACTGTCTCGGACTTGGACTCGGACCCTTGGGACCCTAGCCTGGACTTGATTATGAACGCCTGTGCTACTCCCAGCCCCAGGTTTGCACCTGCTCTGACTCTTGGCCCTGACTGCCCTTGTTGGGATCCTGACAGGTGGCATGTGTCTGGTTTGGTTGGAGGCACATACCATTTCAGCTACCTGGCTGAATGGCTTTTTACAACTTAAATGAGGGTAGTGGTTACACCCTCCTGTTTGAATGTGGTTTAACACCTCCCATAACAGTAACAATGATTCTGTATCGCACCATATCTGTATCCCCAATGGAAGTCTGCATTCTGTGTAAAAACCTTACTCTTTTGTTTTAATCACAGAAGTCCATTTTGCCCAGTTTGTCCTTTTCTCCTTGCTAAAGGCTTCTTTTATTTCCCCTTCTATCCCCCCCATCCACTTTTTTAATCTGGGTCAGGTCCTATTTTTCTCTCCATTGGAGAAGAATAGAGCCTTAAACTTATTTTTCCCCTTAAAAAAACAAAACGCAACATTGACTCTGGCCTACAAATCATGAGAATATCTGCAATTTGTATTAGCAAGAAAATCATCTGATTTATTTATTTAGGGCTACATTGTAACTTTCCAATCTGCTCTGAGAAAGGGGTGCTGCATACCTGGGCCAACCCTGGCGCAGACCAGTGAATCAACTCTGACTCTCAGAGGGTTAAATAATCCTCTGTAATACCAGAATACTTCTCATTCTGCCCCAGCTCAGTTGTGATGTCCAATGCATTGTGGGGCACAATTAAGACTCCATCAATCCTACACGCCTGTCTGCCCACTCCCTAACCAATGCAGGCTGGTCTCCTCTTGTGATTTGTAATGTGGGTAGCCCATGCAGCAGAATAAGGGGGTACTTTCTCTTCTGTACCATACTGAATCAGGGTGATTGTGCCCATCACAATGGTAATGAATGTGTTATATTGACTTTTCATATATTACCTAGAGAATATGCAATCCTTGACACTGCAAAGCATTAACACCCATAATTGAAGATAAATGTATCTACAAAATGTTTGAATAGGATAACCTATTTTATGCAAAATTAAAACAAAAACAAAAACTATAAAGGCCAGGAGGGACCATTAAATCATCTAGTCTGGCCTCCTGTATAACACAAGGCATTAAATTTTACCCAGTCACCCCTGTATTGAGCCGATATATATTTATGACATACAGACAAATAAAATATAGTGCAGTAAAAATACAATACTTTCCTCAAGGGAGTCTGATAGTCAAAGTGAATTATGTTGACTAGTTCCTAAGCTTTCTAAAGGAGCTCCTGTCTCTAATTCAAATGGCTATACATAAAAAATTTGTACCTACCACCTGTTTTTCCCTTCTTAGTTCAGTATCAAGAAGCAGCAATTCTTTCAAAAGAAGACTATACAGGCACAGTTTAACATCAAAACTAAAACAAAGCAGAGGTTTAACATTCATTAGCAGCAATCTACTTATACTGTGCCAAAGCACACTGCAAAAACAAAACTGATAGAAAATGGTAACACTCTTGTAATTTTTTTTAACTTTTTTCTTTTAAGTGCTGAATTCTCACAAAAGCAATTTCCCTGGAACAAGTCAATTCAATTTTCATATTGCATTTTTTTTATACAAAGTATCTTAAAATGCTGCGGAGTGAGAGATAAAAAGAGACAATGCTCTAACATATTAGAGGCACAGCAACCTTCAAATAAACAGCAAGCCTAAACAATATGGAGGGATGGCTAGAATAAAGAGGGGGGGGAAAGCTGTAATTTAAAACAGTAATAATAATACTTCGTATTTAATGTTTTCCACCTCCAGTTGTGCTGCAGTAACGTTAATTGACTCTCCATGTCCCACCCTGTGACAAAGTTTCTTATTCCCTATGTTGCAACTGGGGATACAAAGAGGTAAACATATAGATATTTGCCTAGAGCCACACAGCAACTCAGTGGCAGAGTGAAAATTAGAATGCTGAGTCTATCCAGGTTATTACAGCATGACCATCACCATGGTATTTGAACAGGGACCTATTTTCCCCACTGCAGGATGAGTAACCCCCATTGATATGGGCAGAGTAGGCCCCCAGGAATTCCTGCCTCCAATCCCCAGGCTACAGGGCTTGATCCTGCAGGGTACTGAGCACTCTGGTTCCAATTCAGCAATGCATTTAAGCACATGCTTAATGTTAAGTATGTGAGTTGTCCCACTGGGCTGGGAACAGTCTACTGGACACTCTGTGGGACTCAGCTCACTGTTATTAGTCATTACCTCAGAGTAAGGTACTGCTCAGTCTAAGGGCTTGTCTACACTGGCGTTTTACAGTGCTGCAACTTTCTCGCTCAGGGATCTGAAAAAACACCTCCTGGAGCACAGCAAGTTTCAGCGCTGTAAAGCGCCAGTGTAGACAGTGCACAAGCACTGGTAGCCACGCTCCCAGCGCTGTTAGCTGCGCCGCTCATGGAGGTGGTTTTTTTAGAGCACTGGGAGAGCTCTCTCCCACCGCTCTGCTGTGACTACACAAGCCATGTTAAAGCGTTGCCACGGCTAAGTAAGAGTTGAATCTGGCCCTAAATATGTGCTTAGTAGTATTAAGGACCCAGTTCTGACACCCTTACTCATGTTTGCTTCTGTGCTACTACTGATGAGGTAAGGAACTATTCAAGCATGAATACGCATGACCGAATCAAACTCTAAGTTACTAGTATATTAAAAAAATTGCTGTCCAAGGACTAATCCTTAGTAGGTGGAAAAGCTCTTGCACCCAGGCTTTAAAAGACTGGGAGGTGTTGAGAGGAAAGTGGTAGCAGTTCTGACTTTGTACTATGTGCATTGCTCATCCATAGTATTTTTTATTTTTATGTATAGATTTGTATCACTATTTTGAAATCAATGAATCCAATAAAACAATTATATCCTCAATACAGTGTGGGGTGAGAGAGACAATAACAAACAATCGTTTTTAGCAGGAAGTGTTTTAGGGATCTTTGAAAATGTTGCTTATTATGAATCTGCTCCTGTGAGGGGCTGAACCCTCTTAGCTCCCAATGATTCTAATGGGAGTGGAGGGGGCTCAGCATCCTGTACAAAGCATGCTCAGCATCTGGCAGGATTGGACCCTATGTGATCAACAGCCTTTCAAAACTAATATTGTAGTATTATCACAGTACAGTAAAAAGGGATTTTCTCATGGTAATGCTGTTGCTTGTACTCCTTTCCCCGTAATTCTGTCGTAAGTAAACCAATTTGCAACACACAATAGTATGCAATTTCCTTGGTTTCCAAGAAGGTTTAGCTTCCTATAATTAAGTTTGGACTGTATGCCTTCAACACATGGATTTAAGAATCCTGATTCTTCATCCATGCCAGATCTACAGCAGTTCAGTGTGTTTTCAAATGCCCAAACTATTGCCAGTTGTTTTTGTACCTCTCACAAGTCAGAACTTCAGGGAAGCAGGTCACCTTCAGGAAGGCTCGGTCCTGAAATCTGTCATCACTAGTTGCAGAATGTATTGTTGTAGATGAACTGCAGTCCTCCTTGTCTCCATGACTCAGGGATCCAAGGCTGCTTGAAGTAGAAGTTTCCATTATCTGATTAGGCAGAACAGCCTGCTTTGGATTCTCATGCAAAGATGGATTGGATGATCCATCTGCCAGGGGCTAGGGACAAAGAAAATTTACCTGGTTCAATCCAAATAATATTAAGACAATGAGCAACTCGTGAATGCTGGATACTTTCACAATTTTTTGCAACACTGTACACCACAAAATGTCTATACAGAACTAGTTATGTTTTTGACTGGGAAATATGTTTTTCTATTAAATTATGAACATATTGCCTGTTTAAGGGCCAGATCCTGCAAGGTGCTGAATGTCTCTTGGGCCAAAGTCAATGGAAAACTTCCAATTGACTACAGTGGAAACTGGATCAGGCCCATGTGAAGTGCTGAAGATTTCAGTGCCAGTTGAGGACAGCTGGCACCACATAGGATAAGACCTGGATCAATTTGCTATAAACAAAAACCCACTGTAAAGTACGAGGCTTAATAGTAAATTTCTTCCAGTGTTTCCCACTCTACAATTTACACAGTCACAGAATGATTGCCACTACTTTTCACAGTCTAAACTCTTACCCTAAATTTTTGATTGATGGGATAGACGACTTTTGCTTTTAGTGCAAATGCTGTGATGTTACTGTTCAAAGAAGACTCATTTCCCTGTATGGAAACAACAGAAAAATACTGTAAGCTTAGGTAAGAATAGCAGCTCTGATTAGATCTTTAGCAGAAGTTCCATGCAGCCCTTTTGGTTGGATAGCTTAGGAATTTTATTGATCACAGATTGTCTTTGGACTTACACTCTGACATGAACTGTCTTCTCATGGTCCAGGTCAGAGCATGAAGCCCAAAGAAGAGGAGAACCTTCTATGGTTTTGTAATTGTTTTGGAAGTTTATTACCACAGCTCCATCTCCGAAAAGAACTTTGCTCCAGCAAGTGATGATAGACCATAGCTGATTTTCACAGCTCATTTTCCTTCTCTTTCCCCCCACAGTGAAAGAGAAATCCAGTTTTCCTATGAGATTTTGAAATTACTTTAATAATATATATGGCGAATGGAGATGCCTGAGGATAGGCTGCCATGGTCTGACTAGGAATTTTGATTTTAAATTTAAATACAGAAACAATAGATTAAATAAAACTAAATTAAATTAAGTAATTTTTCAAGAATGATTTAAAATATAAATACTGGAAAACCCTTAACTATGCCCCTGAGAGAAAAGAGAGGTTCGTTCAAAAGGACTTTTTATAAATGATATATTCTATTCACCCTGTCGGCTGCAAATTACAGCTAGTCAGACTTCCTGTTCATGCTTTTTAGTTCATTTCTTCTTCACGCATAGCTGCAGTGTGGTGATCAGCTTTGGGTTACACAAAGTACACTGGGAATGTGGACTACATACAATAACTGAGACCAAGTTTTGGGAGGTTTTTTAACTCCTGTATTCCTTGTATTACTAATGGAACAATCTGGTTTGCTGAAATGTATGCAGTTGCTAGTTCAAGGATTTTTGTAAGAAATGGCAAGGCACTAAGGGAGCCCAAAAATAAACATTGAAATGAGCAGAGAAAATCAAATTGGGTCATGCATTGGTGGCTGCACATAATGTCTGTTTCACTTCCAAACTTTTTTTATTTTTTGTTTCAACAAGTGCAAGACATAGAGGGCCAGACGGCTAGACTGTCATATCCCTGTTCACACTGAGGAGTCCCACTTATTTATATGCATGGTGTAGGATACTATTGCAATGGATAAGTACTAACCTAACCAAGTGCATTTTTCATCTATTCTAGTTAATGAATTGGTGGCTTAGCCTCTGCACAACTTTGGTCAGCAGTAATTGGAACAAATTGGCTTTTTTTTAAAAACTGGTTTGGCAGCGAGGAGGGGAAACACCCTTCATATAACAAGGCTATACACTAAGGGCTTGTCAACACTGGCAATTTACAGCGCTGCAACTATCTCACTCAGGGTGTGAAAAAAACACCCTCCTGAGCTCAGCAAGTTTCAGCGCTGTAATGTGCTAGTGTAGACAGTGCACCAGCGCTGGGAGCCGCGCCCCTCGTGGCTGTGATTTTTTTAGAGCGCTGGGAGAGCTCTCTTGGAGCACCGCGATTACACAAAGCGTTGCCAGTGTAGACTAGCCCTAAATGTGTTATAGAAGTGCTCTCATATTTGCAACATGTGTACTATAGAAATTACTGTAGTTAAGGACCTGATTCTGCCCTTCAATGGGACACACTGCTATGCATGAAGCTATGTACATGCCAAAGTATTTGCACAAGACTGGGGCACATGACTTACGAGGAGAGGCTGAGGGAACTAGGCTTATTTAGTCTGCAGAAGAGAAGAGTGAGGGAGGATTTGATAGCAGCCTTCAACTACCTGCAGGGGGGGTTCCAAAGAGGATGGAGCTAGGCTGTTCTCAGTGGTGGCAGATGACAGAACAAGAAGCAACTGTCTCAAGTTGCAGTGGGGGAGGTCTAGGCTGGATATTAGGAAACACTATTTCACTAGGAGGGTGGTGAAACACTGGAATGGGTTGCCTAGGGAGGTGGTGGAATCTCCATCCTTAGAGGTTTTTAAGGCCTGGCTTGACAAAGCCCTGGCTGGGATGATTTAGTTGGTGTTGGTCCTGCTTTGAGCAGGGGATTGGGCTAGATGACCTCCTGAGGTCTCTTCCAATCCTAATATTCTATGATTCTATGACTTTCCCTCAAAGGAAAAACTAATCATTGATATGAATATAAAATATTTTCTGTTCACGACTAGTCCAAGAACACTTGGCCATTCAGCCATAAATTTGTCATCTATCTTGGACACATCTGAAATGAGAATTCATGTCCCATCAGAACTTTACATTACATTTAAAGTGTCTATAACAAGCACTGGCTACAGTTAAAATGCTTTTACCTACTTCCATTTGCAAGCTAAGGACTGGGCTGGCTAGACAGAACTGACATGTTGTGGGTGAGCATAACTTATTTTTTATAGGCAGAATGAGGAGCACAGTTTAACTACACATTTTTAAAACAGTTGCATTTCTGACTCCCTTTACTACGTGGATAGCAGCCAACTCAGTTTTAAATGAAAGGCAGTGAACTGAGGTCATCAAAGTAAGATTGATTCCTTTACACATTCTGTGGGTTTTGCAATAGTGGACCACTTCCTGACTACTGGATCATGGAGTAAGGGGTCCATAAGCCCCTGATACCACTACGGGGGTTCTCCAGACCAGTCTGACAATCCTAAAGATAGTCATATCAGAATGTTAGTTGCAACCGGGTTCTATGGAGCTGCAGAAGGGGGTGTAAAATGAGCTTCTCTTCCATCTACCAGTCACCTGCAGACCCTGGCCTCTGTATCTCCCATGATCATGGAGCTGCAATAACCCCTCCAAAGCATCCTGTGAGTGGGGAAAACGTGGGCCCTAGCAGAAGGGGAGGCTCAATCAGAGCTCTTCAAAAAACCCAATCCTTTTGAATTGTTGGTTGTGAGTTGTTGAATTTCTGCTCTCCCTGTTCTCAACTGTCTCCGGAGCGGGTTCCTTGCTCCCTGATAGTCCTCTAGTCCCAGCTGCCAGCTCTGGTGTTTCAACAGGATTGTTCATTTGACCCCTCACTGTGTCTTCAGCTGTCACTGGAGAGACTGCTGCCCATGTATGAAAGTCTGAGGAGGGTAGCTGGAGACTAGAAGCCACAGCTATATTTGTGGAGATGTCTGGGTGGAGATGTGGGGAGGACCTAAGGCAAGTTGGATTTGCTGAATGGGTTGGGGTAAAATGAGGCAAGCTGAGCATGTGTGTAGTTTGCCTTAACTACTTCCATATTCCACACAGATACCCCCACAAGCTTAGCTGTCTAAGCTTCCAAACTTCCAAATACTCCCCAGATACTCTTCAGAGGCAAAATTTTTGTTCAGCTCAATGTCTTATCCCCACCACTGCTTGGGAGGGAGTGTATTGACCAATATGACCATTGACTGCATCCTAAAAAATTGCAAATGTGTAAAGCTAATGAACTGATTTGCATAAAATGTCACAAATGGAGCAACAGAAAACTTGGCAGCTATGCATACCCACCTAACATTTGACTTTGGGCCCGAGATTCAGGTTTTGGGGGGATTTCTCAGACACCTAAGGGTACATCTACACTACAGCGGGGAATCGATTTAAGATACGCAAATTCAGCTACGTGAATAGTGTAGCTGAATTCGACGTATTGCAGCCGACTTACCCCGTTGTGAGGACGGCGGCAAAATCGACTTCTGCCGCTTTTTGTCGGCGGCGCTTACTACCACCTCTGCTGGTGGAGTTAGAGCGCCGATTCGGGGATCGATTGTCGCGTCCCAATGGGACGCGATAAATCGATCCCGGAGAGGTCGATTTCTACCCGCCGATTCAGGCGGGTAGTATAGACCAGACCTAAGACCGTCTCCAAAATCACTGGACCTTTGCCACAGCCTGAAATAGTGCTCCTCAGGCACAGGGTCTGGGCAGATCTTTCTTAGGGAGTATCAGGGTTAGGTTTTGGTCCACACATATTACAGAAGTCTGACCAGATTGCAAAGGCTATTGCATTTCACAAGCTAGAAGAGACACTTTTCCAGAAACTTGATGTAATAGAAGAAAAACTTAGTTATGTTTTTCACATGTTGAATTACAAGGCATTCTACTCTTCCATTTAATGTAAATATAAGCTGGATGTATCCCAGAAACATCTCTTTCATAACAGCCAAAGAGAGAATCTCATCAGTATAGTTTTCTTTTAAAGGGTTATGAAGTAAACACTCAGTAGCATGATAAAAGTTGACCTGCCCTTTAATATTCAAAGCCCATCACTTAAAAAATGAATGAGCAAACCGGCACCTGCATGCACAGAAACAGGTCAGCTAAGATACATGAGACAATAGGATTCCAGTAGAGCAGGACTGAACCCTAAGAATCCAACTCCCAGTATCTAAACAAACTGAGTGGAACCTTAACATAGCGGTTTTGTGATCCATTTTACCCATAGGCTGGATATTTTTGCCCCAGTCCTGCAGTTCTTACTCAAGAAAGAGTCATAGTGAGTTCAATGGAGTCTTGCCTGAGTAAGGACAAGAGCAGTAGTTCTCAACCTTTCCAGACTACTGTACCACTTTTAGGAGGCTGATTTGTCTTGCGTACCCCAAGTTTCACCTCACTTAAAAACTACTTGTTTACAAAATCAGACATAAAAATACAGAAGTGTCACAGCCACACTGTTACTGAAAAATTGCTTCCTTTCTCATTTTTACCATATAATTATAAAATAAATCAATTGGCATATAAATATTGTACTTACATTTCAGTATATAGAGCAGTATAAACAAGTCATTGTCTACATGAAATTTTAGTTTGTACTGACTTTGCTAGTGCTTTTTATGTAGCCTGTTGTAAAACTAGGCAAATATCTAGATGAGTTGATGTACCCCGTGGAAGACCTCTGCATACCCCTGACTAAAGCCTTGATGCTCTAGTCCAGTGGTTCTCAATCTTTTAAAGTAAACTTCCCTAGTTTAGTGGATTTGTGCAATTAGATTACAGGCTCCTCTTCAGTTGTGAATTCTAATAATTTAAAGTCAGATGAAAATGCTGCAGGGGAAATACCCAAATTTGCAAGGTGCTGGGCAAGGCAGTTGTGGGAAGAAGTGGGAGTATTGGCTACTGCCCTCAAATTTGTAAAATGATGGTAGAGTGGGAAATAATTCCAATGGATTTGAATGGGAATTTTGACTGAGTAAAGACTGTGAAATTGGGCCAGGTAAATATAAGTGAAATCATATTTCTAGGTATCAACAGATCCTAGATTCAGGGCCCTTATTTCTTTGTTCACTGAGTCTCTGATTTACTTCATTCAGTTTCCAATTTCTTTATTACAGCATTTGTATGGGAATCATCGTAACTCTTGAAGGGACAGATCCCAACTCTGCTGAAATCAACAGCATTTGGATCAGCTGCTAAGTAAGCAGGCTAGAATATCAGACAAAATAGACATCTATGAAAGGAATAAACTCTTACTTCCAGCACCATTTCCTCCTCTGACATTTGAGTTTCTGTTTTCTTCTTTCTGGGTAAGGGTACATTTTCATCAAGATGTCCGCGCACATCCGAGTGAAAGCTTTCCAGAAGCCTTTGGGAATCATCTTTCTGAAATCCCAAAGCAGGACAAAAAAATAAAATGCAACTCAAACCACTTGGATTCATCTGACATCTTAGATGACCCTGTTTTATTTATAGTAATATCCTGTTCAAGTTACAAAGTAGGTACAAATGATTATTTTAGACTAATGATTTCAGTTTTCTGAAAATGAGTAATAAGTTTATAGATTGAGGAAACATTTTTAGTATCTTTAGTTTCTTTCTGCATTTGCTTTACTCTTCTCCCCCCAGCGCTGGAGACTTGGACCAGGGAAAGGTGAAAGACTCTGGCTATTGCACATTCAGTGCCAAGAAGTCGCCTTCCCACCCCCACCCCACAGCATCAAATGATTGCAGTATTGAGGATTGGCAATTGAACTACTCGTGTGATGAAGTTACACAGGTGCACACAGTGTTTTAGACCCAAGTAATGGACTAGGAAAAATTTGTGAGAATATACCATTCACCAGGTATAGGACGGGTGAGAAAAGCTACAGGTTTGAAACCATCAGTGCTTAGGAAACTCCATCCAGCACAGAATGCTGTAGTGTGTCGTCTCAGTAGTACAGGCTACTGCATACGCCAAACCTGTCCACCACTCTCCAGACTAGCTTCTCCTAGGCTACTGAGTCAAGTTCCAGGTCTTGGTCTGTATCTTGAAGGCACTCCAAGACCTGGGTCTAAGATATGTAAAAGATCACCTAAAGCTCTTGGATGAGGACCACTGTTCCACACTGTTCCTCTCTGAAATGTTCTCGAATAAGGGTAAATCTCATTGATGCAGGTGATAGAACTTTCTGAAGGGGGGGGGGGAGACCTGAGACTATGGAAAGAGCTCCCCTAGGTACTAAGGACCATCACCAACTTCCACTCCAAGTGCAAGGTGTATTTCTTTGACCTGCCTTCTCTTACAATCATATAGCAACATGTATATTAAACAAAACCCCCACCAAACCACTCTACTGCACGCACTTTCTCCCTGCAGAGAAGATGAGAGAACAAATCACACTTGACATATGGCTTAATGAACTGGAAAACACTCAGATACTACGGTGGTGAGCATGGTATAAGAACCTATACAGAATGTGATAATATGGTTACTCACTTTAGGCAAACATGATGGCTCAAAGGCTCCTACCTCATGTCTCCATTTTACTACCTGTTTGTTGAGCTGTTAAAAAGATATTGCCTACGCCACTTTCCACTTCTCAGTCCAGTCTTGTTATAGAAACTTAAACTCTCCTTTAGTAGTTGACTGGTCGCACAATATAGAATGTAATTAGTTCTTTTAGTACCTTTTCATATTATTCATTCCCTCCAGCCCCTACTTATCCCAATAATTTTATTGTTTTCCACTGACTTCCCTCCCATCATCTCTCAGACACTGAGGCGTCCAGAACTGTACATCATATTCTATGTACAATTGTATCAGTGCGAGATAGTTTTAAAAAAAAAGCTTTCATCTTTCTAGTATGGTGACAAGATGTTCTTGCACATGTAGCCCAAAAGAGGCATTTGCTTTTCTTGTCTCATATTTCCTTGCAAGTTCACATCCAGTTTGCTGCCCACTTTCAGCCATAGTATTTCTCAAGCATTTCTTTCACAGTGAACACCTATAACTTGGATTACTTATCCCCAGTGAATAAACCTGTATTTTTCCAAGTTGAATCTATTTCCTTCCCACATTTATCACCCCATTAGCTCCCTCCTTTCCATTGCTTTTTGTCCTCCCAATGTATTACCGGTATGAATGTAGTTAAAGTGCCATTTACCTCTTCTTATAGATCATTAATAAAGATGCTGAATAAAATAAGGTCTAACAACAATCCCGGTAGTACGTCATCAAGCTAATCTACCAGAATCTCATGACTGGACAAGCTCGATCTCAACAAGAAAGTTTGCTGGTACAGGATAAATCTGACTGGAGGGTATTACAGAAGAACGGAACACTTCTGGAAGGCACTGGCAATAATGACTTCTTTTTAAATACTCATACCTTATGACTATAGTATCAGAGTGACCAGACAGGTGAAGACAGCAAAAGGATAACATCTGTGCTTAGCTATACTGAGCCAACCGTGACAGCAATATAAAAAAACATCTATTTTGGAAAGAAAAATGAGCTATTGAATCAGAGAAGCTTCCACCGCCACAGGATGTATTGATCTAGTACCTGAAGTGCTTCCATTACCAGGCAAAAGCATGGCTTCAAGCAGAGTTTCAAATCTTCCTCTTGAAAGCAGATGGCTAACAAGTATTCTTCTCTCCCACCAGGCCTAATTATGATCAGTCTTGGGGGGGGGGGAGCGTGTGTGGCAGGTTAGCTATAGTTGTACAAAGAGGTGTGGCTAAAGAAAAACAAACCGCCCACTGAATGCAGAGAGAACACTCTGCATGGCACTAGATCCTCCAGCTGTGTCCGTGCCAACCACTGTTATATGAAATTAACTCAATATTATATAGGTCTAAGTCTGATGCAGAGCAAGAACAAAACAAATCAATAATGCTGTTCCCAGAAAATAACCTGGTGTAGTATAAATAAGTCTATGGATATGTACAATGTAAATAATGTTGGAGTCTCAAGAAACATTGTGATAAAAAGCGAGGAACAACCAGGGTTAGTCTTTAAAAGATGATGAAAATATACGTATTTCTCCAAAGAGGACTAAAATCAGACAAGTGCATGTTAAACAACAGAGAGAGCATGTGCTTTGGAAATAACTAAATAGCAGTTTCACCCCAAGCAAGTTGTAAAATGTATACAATATGCCTCATTCTTTTTCTAGCTCATATATTTCTAAAGCACCAGGGGATCTAGGTACATAGTCTCAGTTTAAAAGGGACAGTTCTCTCCATTCTTCCATTCGTTTTACTGCTTTGTAAGTGGGATTGTTCTTATTTGTTTCCGGGAGAAGACACAGATGGCTATTCTGTGGTCAACGTTATTTCAGGAAGACTTCTGCAAACTAGGTAAGTCTTCTTCTGTTGTGCCCTAAAGTGACAAGACGGAGACCATGTCTGTACAAGAAAAGTTACAGCGGATTAGCTAAATCGATTTTAAATTAATCTAAGTAAACAGGTCTCTCTCGTGTGTATGGCATCTGCAGAGCAACAATTAAACTGGTGCAAAGCCCCTAACATAGATCTATTTAAATGAATTTAATCCTTGCTTAAATCCCAGCTTGTTTCAGTACATTACCAAATGAAGCTAAATTGATTTAAGCAAGGATTAAATTAGTTTAAATGCAGGCATCTATATTAGAAGTTGGATAGTTGAGAGTCTGCAGCTGAGAATGTTAGGCTACCAAGAATTTCACTTGTGACTCTGTCAGCCTTATCACTCCTGTTGATCACAGCTGCTGAGGTGGGTGACAGAGAAAGAGACACTTGGATACAGACTGGCTCCAGTTGATTGAGGGCTTCATCTGCTGAAAACAGTCTCTTGATGAAGATCCACTATTGAATAGAGAGCCTGTAGAAAACTGGGGTGATGTCCACATGTCTATCTAAATATCCCAGTAAGCAGGCTGCTGTCAGGCCACTTGAAACATTCATATGGCCTTCATCTTGATTCCCCTCCCCCCGCACACACTCATTCTGTCTAGATCAGTGGTTCTCAAAGCCGGTCCGCCACTTGTTCAGGTAAAGCCCCTGGCGGGCCGGGCTGGGTTGTTTACCTGCCGCGTCCACAGGTTCGGCCCATTGCAGCTCCCACTGGCCGCAGTTCGCCACTCCAGGCCAATGGGGGCTGCGGGAAGGGCAGCCAGCACATCCCTCGGCCCGCGCCACTTCCCGCAGCCCCCATTGGCCTGGAGTGGCGAACCACGGCCAGTGGGAGCTGCGATTGGCCGGACCTGTGGACGCGGCAGGTAAACAAACCAGCCCGGCCCGCCAGGGGCTTTACCTGAACAAGTGGCGGACCGGCTTTGAGAACCACTGGTCTAGATACTTTTACAGCCCTCATCTCTGTAGTACCTGAACATCCTAAAGTACAATGTAATAGAGAACACCCTGATGCAGTCTAGTGGAAAGGTGGTGCATATGTGGATCAGAATGGGTAGTTTGCAGTAGTTAAGAAAGGGCACATTTTCCAATTGAGTTGAAATTAGAAAATGGCACTTCTGGGACACAGCTGCTTTTTGGTATCTAGGAGCAAGCAAAAAGTCTCAAAGGAACCCAGGCTGTGCACCTTCTTGACAAATAGAGTAAATAAGTCGTCAATGGGTGATGGAGTCAGACCTGCAGGTCCTTTAACTACAACCCAATTCCTACCTTTGTTTTACAGACTGAGTTTGAGATAGCAGCTTTTCATCCAGGTGCTTATCTTATCTCATAAGTAATGTTACTGACACATATCTGTGGTGGCCCAAAAGGTATCATGTTGTTCAAAGGAGATGAATTTGTATAAGTGAAGACTCCAATTTGATAGCATGGTAATGTTCTAATTCAGGAGCGCAGTGCCAAAACCCAGCTTGACCTAGCTGAATTCAGTTGCTCACAGTCATGTTTGTAGTGTTGTTATTCCATGATACGTGGGGATTGGCATTATTGTGGTGGACTAGAAGAAGCTGCATATGTATTAAATATAGATGGTAAAACTGAGGAGCGGGCTCTGTCCCTGGGCTCACCACTCCTTCATCATCTCTGGCCTCTGCTGCGTCATCCCCGGCCCTGGGCTTTGGACGCGCAGCAGCAGGTTCCATACCCAGCCACATGGCCCAGGCTCCAGCCATTGGACCCCAGATTCAGCTGTGGGGCTTCAGGCTCTGGCCCCAGGCTCATACCCCCATTACCCATGGCCCCCGCTATGTTCTTTGGCTCTGAGCTTCGGCTGTGCAGTGACAGGCTCTGTCTCCGAGGGTCCAGCTGCGGGGCCCCAGGATCTGGCCATGGGGCTTTGGGCTCCGACCCCAGGCTCACCACCCTCTGCCTGTCGCCCCGGCCCCTACTGCCTCCTCCATCTTGGGCTCTGGCCGCAGGACCCAGGATCCGGCCATAGGGCTTTGGGTGCTGGCCCTGGGCTTGCCCCCCCAACATCCCTGGCCACCGCTGTGTCCTCTGGCCCTGGGCTTCAGACGTATGGTAATGGGCTCTGGTCCCTAGCCGCAGGGCTTCAGGCTCCAGCCTGGCCCCCGGGCTTGCTCCAACCCCCCTCCCATCGTTGCTGGCCCCCGCTGCCTCCTCTGGCATCCCTTCCATCATCCTTGGCCCCCCGCTGCCTCCCCACCCACCCATCTCCCAATCCAGGGCTTAATTTGTCCCCTAGCTTGCTGGGACTGAGTAACTCTGCTGTGAAAAGTGATAGTTATATGTTTGTTAATATCACTTTTCATTGCCTCCCAGGTAGCTAGCAAGCCTGCTTCTGTGAAAAATTAACAAACATACAAATATAACTTTTCACAATAAATAGCAGACTTACTAGCCAGCAAGTCTAAAAAAACAAAACAAAACAAAACCCAAAAACCCCAAAAGAAACAACAACAAAGGACAAAGAACATGCAAAGCACCTTATTTTTGTTTCTATTCTGTTTAGATCCAGTAAAGAACAAAGACAACTGTACATTATATTTATTATTGAGTTTCAAAAATAAACCCAAATCCCTGTATAAATAAATTACAATGATTTGGACATGTATATATGCATATTTGTTTCTTTTTCCTAATGTTAATTAAGTATTTTAGGAAAACTTGTCAGAGTGGCCACCAGCAAGAGTTGGTGGCCACACTCTGAGGCAGTGGTGGGCAACCTGCAGCCCCTCAGATCAAGCCACTGGCAGGCTATCAGACAGTTTGTTTACATTTGCACGGCTGCCTGCAGCTCCCAGTGGCCGCCATTTGCCGGTCCCGGCCAATGGGAGCTGCGGGAAGCGACATGGGCTGGGTGTCGCTTCCTGCAGCTCCCATTGGCTAGGAATGGCGAATAGTGGCCACTGGGAGCTGAAGGCGGCCGTGCAAATGTAAACAAATGGTCTGGTGGCCCGCGGGCCGCAGGTTGCCCACCACTGCTCTGAGGCCACCAAAAAATTTGTTGCGTAAAACCTTTGTCTAGCTCAAATCAGAGTTTTTGCCACTTTCTTATACCAGGATGTGTCAGTGTTTAAAGCATGGTAGAAAAGTACACTTATTCTTAATTTTGGCAGTGTAATTTTTGAGTCGGTGGACAAAACTCAGCTGGATCCAAAAGGATTCCAATGCTGAATCCAAGTTTTGTGGCATTGCTGCTCTGGGGCATGTTAGAGTCAGTCTGGAGTTTTAAGGTGCAGCAGGCAGGCTAAACGTGCTTTCTATATAGCTAGTGGAATTTGGACAATTGGGGCCAACAACTGGCTGGATCAAGGACGAACCAAGTTTTTGGGGTGTTGCTGCATTACAAAATGCATTGATTAGAAATGTTTTTGAGCAGTAGGAGCACCTACGTTTGTTCTCTATTTAAGTAAAGAAAGTTGAGTAATGAGGGCCAAAAACTTGCTGCATCCAGCAGGGTCTATGTGTCAGACCTGGGATTTTGAAGCATTATTATGGTTGGGTGCAGATTTTCTTGTGCTGCCAGCTAGATCCAATAGAATCCAGATGTCAGCAATGCTGTTGCACTAGAATGTGTAATACTCCAGATATTGATACAATAGGAGCATTTACATGTATTCGCTGTATACCCATTACAATTTGGAGAGTTAGAGGCCCAAAGCAGGCTTGATTCAGGAGATGACAGACCCGGTGTCCTGTGTTGCTGTTGTGCATCAGACACTGGTTTGGGGTTTTTTTAGAGCAGGAAGAGTGGCCAGACGGTTTGTTCTACTCCAGTTTGGGATGCGGAGGCCAAGGCTGGCAGGATCAGGTTGGACCCAGAGTATTTACCCAAACCCACTCAATCCGCACGAAGCCAAAACCTTCTACTGCAAAGATCCCATCCAGCAACGCGTACCTTGTTTTGCAGAAGAGGCCCGATCACATAGAAGCACAGCAGGAGCGCGGCGCCGACGCCCAAGGCGACCCCCAGCAGCACAGCGGGAGCCAGCAAGCCGGGAACCAGCTGCAAGGCTTCCACCCAGAACTGCAGCCCGATCTCCCCTCGGCAGGGCCCTGGCGGCGCTTCGCCAGCAGCAGAGGCCATGAACGAGCCCGCAGTGAGAACTCGAGGCGGGGGCTCCAACTCTGCTTGGGACGGGGGAGGGGCCCCGGGCTAGGACCCAGAGCAGCGCAGCGAGCTCCGCTGCTGGGCAGCTCCCGCCTGGCGAGCCCAGGGCATCCCGGCTCCCAGCCCTCTCCCTGCGGGCCGAGGTTCGCGGCTGGGGACCAGGGACTGGAGGAAGGGGAATCTCCTCCCGGGCCGGGAGGAGAGCGATCGCGGCTGAAGTCGATTGCGGCAGATCTGTGGCTCGGCGCCTCGGCAGCTCGGCCTGGTTTGGAGCCGGATCCCCCTGGAAAGAAACTTTCTCCGGGCCAGTAACTTGGCAGCGGCGCTTCGCCGCGCTCCTCTGGGGGGCTCCTGCGCCGGCTGATTCTCCCCGCGCCTGTCTCATGCGAGCAGCGGCTCCAGGGGGGCTCCGCTCCCCGCCGGGGGCTCTGCTGGTAGCTGGCTACTTTGTGCGAGTGCTGCTGCTGCTCCCAGCCCGGGCCTCCCCGGCAGCAGACCCCCCTCGCCTCGGGCAGCATCCGCCCCAGTGCAAAGACTTGCCCGCGAGCCGCCCGGTGCACGGAGATCCCCCTCCTCTCGGGGCCGGGCACGAGGTCTCGGTGGCCCTTGCCGCTGGCTCGCGGTTTCCTTCTCCCGAGGAGTCACCCCGCGGCCGGGCTCCCCGCCTCCCGAGCGGCGGATGGTGCAGCCAGACGGCAGCCCAGGTAAGAGGACGCTTCGCCGAGGCGTGTGAGCTCCTGCTTGGAAAGCCCCTGGGAGAGGCGATCTGCCCTCCCAGAGCACCCTACTCCCGGCAGTGGCGAATCTAACCTCATCCCTCTACTTGGGAGGTCGGGCAGAGGCGTTGATCCCCACTTTATCACACGAGGAAGCTGAATTGTAGAGACATGAAAGGTCTAAATGTTCAAAAGCATCCACTAACCTGGGGTGCCCAACCTTTAAGGTACTTCAGATCTGATTTTCAGAGATACTGAGCACTCCGCATTTCTAATAAGTAGGCCCTTGGTATTGGGGACCATTTCAGATTTGGGGGCGGGGGTAATGCTTAATTTAGCATGAAAGTGGTGCGGAGGCCCAGCCAATTTGGTACTGAGATTCAAGCAATTTTAACATTTTCATAATTGATGCGGCAAGCCCAGAAGTGCTGGGGCTATGAACTGCCAAGCCTAGAGGTGCCGGGCTCAGGTCTGGCAATCCCTGGCACAAATTAAGCAGTGGTGGTGCAGGGGCAACTTTAACCATGATTCCAGGGACTACTTAGGCACCTGAAAACTCTAGGGTTTTGTTTTGTTTTGTTTTTTTACAGTAATAACTTCAAAATTAGCTGACATGAGCACGGTACCTAATTTCTGTACAAAGAAAGAAGAAAAATATATACACAGACAGCAGTTAAAGCCATATGTTAAGTTTATATGTAAATTTAGAACAATCAGGAGATAATATAGCAAGATAATCCCAAGCCTTGAGGTATCGGTTTTGGAGCCTTAACACAGATATCAGAAACAGTTTGTACACTCTCTTTAGTAGACAGAAATAAAAATAAATAAAATCTACTTAAAATCTTCTTACGCCTGCAATTGTTGTTGTTTTCTAAATGTCTTATGTTCCAAATTGTGAAGAGGAGAATGAGACAGGTAATTGGTTCCAGGAATATTTAAAGGTAAATTATTGAAAACAAAAACACACTCCAGATATGAGCTAAAAACAATGGATAATGCCATGGTCTCATCTTGGCAAAATCCAAGTGTTTTGAAGCTTCACATTGACAGGCTAAAATTACCAAATCTCTTACATGCCTATCTCCCATTGTGGTTCTTAAGTAGTCCTTAACTCTCTTGAGCACAGAGAAGTACCTCCCTTTTTTAATTCTGTAGAAACTGGAAGGCTCAACACAATAATCTACAATAGACAGCAAAGTCTGGTAACCCCTTGGTAAAACATTGAGAACATTCCAGAATTCAGAAATTGAAGTCAGTTTTTTTTGGTGCAATGTGCTTCTTGGCAACTTTGATTCTGCATCCAGATCGCCAAAATTGGTGCCTGTTGATCCATAGTGATCTGCAGTTATTTTTGGTTTCTCATAATCAAGACAATTTTCATTCTTTGGGTCACAAGCAGTTAGTGCAGAAAGCAAACTGGAGTTGGAGGTGAATCGTCTAGCAAGCTTAGCAAGAATTCTGTTCAGAATAGGACAGTAGAAATCAGATTTTATAGGTTCTTGAGTGCTCTTGGGAACATCATGTGTCGATGACTGACCCAGTGTACTATAAACAAAAACCAAGGCTTCTTGCCGTTTTTGTATTGCTGTGCTCAGCAGTTGCGATTGACAGACACGGAATATCAATTTCAAGTTCTTTGGCAATGATTTCAGCTTCATCACACATCTCCTTCCATTTGCTTTGAGATGTTCTCATTTATTGGAAGAGCAGCAACATTGCTTGCTACTAATTCCATGGCACTTAATAAATTCAGGTTTTCATTTTGCAGTTCTTCTAAAGCCCTGTGCAAAATCTTGAATATTCTTTCCCAAACCAAGAGCCTCAACAGAAAGGAATAGCTCTTTATCTTTGTCATCAAGCCCTTTGCAATGTTAACTGATGGTCCATCAGCTCTGAACTGAAATGGCTTCCAGTATTTCCACTACAGTGCCAGTCTTGCATGTTGTTTCCAAAGGGAGTCACACCAGTGAGTTTCACATAATCTACCTAGTTCAAGTACCTTCTGGCCTAGCTCCTGCTGTGCCTTAACAAATGGTTCCCGGTACTTGTAACTACTGCTAAAGAAGATGTACAATGCCTGAGCAAATGTAAAGACTCCCTGACACTGGGTGATGCTGGAGCATGTGTCTGCAGTAACAAGATTAAGCCTGTGAGGACAGCATTTCCCATAAATGGCATGTGTAATCCTTTCCTGAATTCGAGCTTGTATGTCTTTTAAATGCCCACTCAGCACAGAAGCTCCATCGTAGCACTGGGCAAAAATGTAATTAATATTGAGCTTCAAATGCTGTAGTTCTTCAATAATCATTTTTGAGACAGATCCAGCATTTAGATTTTCTACGTGGAAGCAGCCCTGAGCTCTTTCCTGAATTGATTCCTTTTCCACAGAAGCGTAAAAGGAGACACAGCTGTTCTTTTTTTGGTGCATCTTTAGCTTCATCAACAAGGACAGAAAAATACTTGGTTTGTCTGTATTTTTACCACTGTCAGTCATGTGTCTACACGGAAAAAGCTGTGCATGGGTTAACTGTGAGGTAGCTTGAATCCAGCCCAGCCTAGGTAATGATAGCAGTGAAGGCAGCACAGCCAGGCTTCAGCACGGGTAGTGCAAGTCTGGTATGGACTTTTGGTGCATACTTGGCTTACTAGTCCATTCTGAAGCCTGTGCTGTGCTGTCTTCGCTTCTTTTGTTACCCATGCTAGCTGGATTCAGGTTGAACGGACAAGCCCATGTCCAGCTTTTGCTGTGTAGATATGTCTTTAAATCTGATGATAATAGAGGTTGGTAGCACCTTGTCTGCATCAGGACTCCCAGCTATAATGGTGGTAGCTCCGGTGGGGAACTTCTACAATTCCTTACTATGGAAATAGCCAGCTTTAGCACTGGGTGAATTAGTGCAGACAAGGCCATTGTCAGACTTAATATCTGTGCGTCAGTTTATTCTTCTGGAAAGCAGGATAGTATTACCTAAATCAAGAGTCACCTCAACCCATCCTCTGTGAGGTTGTCAGATTTTTAATTTGTGTGCACTCTTCCATTTGCTCTGTTAATGGGGGAGTGGAAAATAGTCCTGAGAGCTGAACTTCTGTTCTGTATGCAGAGATGTGAGTAAGTTTTATTTAAGAGTCTACATATTTCTTATTTTTGATTTATTCTTACAATTTAGATCCTCAATATATTAGCCTCCACTCCAAATCTAACCACTCAGCCCTGACAAAACCATCATTTGCCAGGGGAAAAAAATCAATGATTACATATAAGGAAATCACATTCCACAAGGGTGCTGGAACTAGGGGTGCTGGGGGGCGGCAGCACCCTTTGACTTGAAGTCATACACAGGGTTTACAGTTTTGTTCAATGGCTTTTAGCACCCCTGCTATACTAATTATTCCAATGCCACTGCATACCAGGAAATCATTTTCTGAGTCTCCAAAACACAGATCTCTATTTTAACTTCAGTTTACTGACTTTCATAAACTCATTTTTGTAGTTAATATTTTTATTGTACACTGAAACTGTGGATTACATTTGTAACCACACAGATCACTTTAACTCACATTTGACAACTAGCGTTATATGAAAGACATTTTACAGAAGTATAGACATCTCTGCCAGAAACTACGTATCGTCATGCATCCGACGAAGTGGGTATTCACCCACGAAAGCTCATGCTCCAATACGTCTGTTAGTCTGAAAGGTGCCACAGGACTCTTTGCTGCTTTTACAGATTCAGACTAACACGGCTACCCCTCTGATACTAAGTATCTACTGTAAATCTCAAATGAGACCACAGAAGAATGGCATACTGGTTAGAATGTATTTAAAAATGAACCTTTGTTTTTTAATTAATTTTAGTTCATCTTAGTTTATCTCCTTTTAACTCATGTTTACAGATTAATATAATACTTTGAAATTTTATGTTTACTTAATGTTTAAATATTTTATTTACTATTTACTATTTAAATACTGCTTTCCCATAGCTATTTGTCCTCTGACTCCAGATTAAATTTGATCAATTAACAAGAAAGATTTTTGAATTCCTGCCCTTGCTTAACCCTGAAAGGCAAATTGAGTTCTTTCTGCTTCTTTCATCTTCATCAATAGTGCATTGAATAATTCTGTTGATGTATGCGACCAGACAGAATACAGCTTGTTTTTCTTGACTGATATTGGTTCCTGCACCACTAAGAGTAAAAACATGTTTGTATCCATAAAATAAACAGATTTGACTTGAAACAGAGAAAGTATGTATTTGATTGTGGTGATGTTTTTTACAGAGCTGCTTTTCTGACCACTTTAAAGAAAATCCCACATTTATTTTTGGCAGGCTGGATATACAAGATATGTCAATGAACAGTCTTATTATCCATCGTCTAAGTCATTAGCTAGGAGAGTGTGCATTTTTTGAGGGTAGAGTAGCAGAATGGGGATCAGAGTTGAGATACATTTCCGGCTCTAATACGTGTTCTGATGTCTTGTGTCAAGTCACTTAAGGGACACTGGTTAGGTTTAAGATCTGTTCCTGCCCCACAGATCTCAATCTAAACTTTATAATTCCATATGGCAGGCAGGCAGGCAGGCAAGTATTATTATTCCCATTTTACAGCAATGAGAACTGAGGCACAGTGTCCAAGCACAGAATGATACTTTAAAAAAACATATATACAAACTCTAAATACTAAACAAGACTGTTTTTTCCTGAACTTTAAAATGTTGCATTTTCTTGGGGTTTGGTTTTAAATATTCTCCTGTGAGAACTGCAACTCAGTCACTGCAGTGTTGTGTTTAAGAGTCTTCTGGAAAGTAATTAGCCTATAAACAGAAGTGACAATGACTTGAAAGCGTCAATTTCACTCCAGTTTAAAGTCAGTTTCTAATGCCCCTAGAGCCCCACACAGATGTAGTAAAGGACTGTAGAACTCTACTATTGGTTAGGAGGATTGTCACTCTATATCATCTCAGCTGCTGATTGGTGAAGGCAGATGACGGGACGGGGTGGGTGATTCTAGTGCAGTAGAGGAAACTGAGCACGGGAGCTGTAGCCAGAGAACCCCAGCTCCTAGAGGAGGGGACCTGGCTGCAGGTAAGAGCTCAGGCTGGGGCATGCACCACGAGAAAACCTCTGGTATGAAACTGGGGGTGGTGGGAAGTGCCCCCTGGCCCTACCTAAGTGGTGCCCCGGCATGGTATCTGAAGTAGGGGACCCAAAAGCTAAGGCTCCCCAATTAGTGAACACATTGAAAATTTGGGCCTAAGTGACTTGAATGTAGCAGAGGGAGGAATAAAATCCAGAACTTCTAACTTCCAACATTGTGCTTTAACCACTAGACCAGGGGTGGCTAACCTGTGGCTCCGGAGCCGCATGTGGCTCTTCAGAAGTTAATATGCAGCTCCTTGCATAGGTGCTGACTCGGAGGCTGGAGCTACAGGTGCCAACTTTCCACTGCTCAAGCCCAGGCCATGCCACACCTTATCCCAAGGCCCCTGCCCCTTCCTGCCCCCTTCCCTGAGCCTGCTGCACCCTTACTCCTCTCCCCTCCATCCCAGAGCCTGCTGTACAATGCGAAACAGCTAATCGCGGTGGGCAGGAGGGAGGGGAAGGTGCTGATCGGCAGGGCGCCCAGCCCGCAGGAAGGGCTCCGGGGGGGG